CACAGAATGCAAAGATGTCAAGGTCCTCGTATTTTAATATAATCCTATCCATTTTAGTCACTGCAACAGATAACATGGGCCCTTCAGGGGTCTAGGAGGTAACTGGACTTGCTCTACCAGGTAAAGGCTGTGTACTCACTGCATGGACACGGTCCTGCAGAAGAAGCTGTAGATCCCCTCCATGACTAGGTTGGGATTGCTGAGATTAATTAACTTCCTTTGCTCTTCCTCTGCTTTCAGATCTGTATCTTCCAACATGAAATATATTGTCCCCATTCTCTGCCAAGAAGTGACCGTAGACTCTTACCTATTCCTCTCGACTATACCCTGCTCTAGCTGTATTCCTAATTTGCAACTTACTCTGCCAGACAAGACTGTAGTAATCATAAACAAGCATCTCAAACAGACCTTCGTTTAGGCTCCATGCATCTCTTATTTTTCTGCTCAGATCTGTTTTCAGATTTTCCCTTCAGGAGTGGGAAAATTGCTACTGATGCTCTGAGGTAATAGAATGATGTGCTGCTCTTGGATCAGGAACGTGTCCTTCTCTCATTGCCAGCCTGGAAAAATCTCATGAAAACTGGGGCGGGGGAGAATGGATGGGATCCATTCTTTCTTTTCCTTCTTTGGCACACAGAACTCAGATAGAAGATGTGCTTGCACATGCCCAGATATACCAAGACAGTTGTTCACCACCTTTATGCTCTCTAAATTTGGGCAACATGCATGAGAATGCATGGTAGTGAAAGGAATGCTTTAATCTTTGCTTCCTTTGGCTGTGGTGACCCAAGAGAAGTAGATATTATATGCATTGTGGTATTTCTCTGCCACCTTCTGAATCTTTCTTTATGCCAAAGCTTGGCAGCAGGACTAGCCGTAGACTGAATCCATGTGCTCAAGGGCTTTCCTCCTTTTGGGAAAGGGACAAACCACTTCAAGTCCCTTTTACCCTGCCAAAATTGTCTAGACTAGTCTTACAAGAACTGCAAATGGGACCAGGTCCCTTGCTATTATCTTTCATCAACTAAATGTTGTTTTTTTTCTAAGCAAACAAGACAGACATTTCCATGAGGAGAAGACCATATACGTAATAACTCCTTGGAGGGTCGGGGCCTGGATGCATACTGCAGACTGTGCCATCTCCTCAAGACATGCTTGAGGGCTCTGAGTGCTATCAAAGCACATGAACAGCAGCTCTTACACTCACTCAACAAGTAAACTCTATGACCATTTAGTTAGAGCCTCATTTTTTAAAACAGTTATTTGTCACTATTCAATTAAAGAGGAGCACAGCCGTGCACACTGCTTGGCGGCTAGATGCTCCGTCACAGCAGGCTTGGCAGATACTGCAGCTCAGCATCCTCAAAGCCGATTAAAACCCAGCACTGGGAAGCCACTGTCCATGTGCTGCGTCAACCAGAAACGCAGACAAGAGCCTGTGCTTGTTAAAAAATAATGTTAAGCACAGAATGAATCCCCAAAAGGCAACAACAGGAGCGTCTGGGCTTAAGTAGAAAGCAAAGTGCTATAAATAATTCCTGTTCCTCCCTGATTCTACGAGGAGGGAGCATCCGTCACACGCTACCATGTCAGCAGGACAAACTTGACTGAACAAACATCTGCTCACCATCAGTGTCCTGTATGTGCAGTTTGTAGCTTTAAACATGGGGGGGGGGGGGGGGACACCAAAAACCCTTTCTTGTTTTTGCTTTTTGAAGTTTAAAAGAGGGGGGGGGGGGGGAGAACCACAGAATCCTGAAGGTCCCAATATGCAACAGCTGCTCCTGGCATCCACAGTGAAATAGCTCGTACCTCTAGGTAAACAGCACTGACTTATTTTCATTGCATACATCCCTCCTCAGCATGGCATGGCTCCCTTGCTTCAGCGTCTCTGTTCCACCTGCTTTCTGCCTGCACCATACCTCTGGCATTGGGCATTTCTCTCCAGTAGCTTCTGTTGCCAACAAAGCTTTCCAAAACCCTGCTTGCTTGAGTGGGTCAAGGCAGAGGCACCTCCAGCTCTACAATCTCACTACATGCCAACTGGTGGAGATACTTTCCTGTTGTTATAACGCTGTATAATCTAATTACTCCTAGCAGAACAATTTGTCTTTAAGGAAAATCCCTAGTCTGCCACGTTCTATTATCAGGTTCCTTTGCCCTTTAAAAGTTTCATTATTAAGCACGTCCTTTGTGTTGCTTTCTACAACCACCTGGCAAATACAGAAATGGAGCTAAACCACTCTGTGTCTCATAAGAAACTCTTGTTTTTATAAAACGGCATTAAAAATATTGTCAATATTACAGAATTTAACAATTCCACAGAAAATTCAGCAAGCCTAAACCTGCTATCAACAAAATATTCCCAAAATATTGGATTCTGTCTCAAGTGAAGCAGCAATGTACAGGTCGGGTGAAGAGGAAGCGATGCTTGGGCTCTGATGTTAGCATTCTTAATACAAAAGCAATTTACTGATCAGATAAAGGTAACAGTGTTAATGGAATCACAGGCAGATACCAACACCCTGACCCACTACACAGCCCACTGGCAGTGTTTTGCGATGCATTAGGAGATTAAAAGAAAGATTAAGAGCAGCCGCTTTTTACAATACAGCATGCTGGGCTGCAGGCTGCTCTCTACCTCAGACCCTCGCTTCGACCCTCTTTCTGCGATGACCTTTGCAGAGTCAGAAGCAGTGCTTTCTACCACTCCCAAAGGATGCTCATCCCACTTTTATTGTTAAATAAAAACAATAGCAAAACCCAGTAAAAAATACATTGCTAAGTCAAATGAACTATCTAAACACAAACAGTTCAGGAGGCAATCTGCTGGTAGCAAGTACCGGCAGGGGGGACAAAAAAAAAAAAAAAAAAAAGCAGCTTAATTATCACCCGTGTTTCAGGGGGAATCACTGCAATAATGGACGAGCGTGTCCGGACGGCTCACTAGGTTCTAAATCACCCACATTTTAAATGTGGCTTCAGATAGATGGAGAATGTTTTGATTATCCTGACAGAGAGTGTTGTCAAGGAAATTAGAGCAAAGTAACTCTAGATAATTATATAAATAGATAATTAAAAATAAATTAAAATGAAACAGAAAAAAAGAAGCTAAAATCCTAATGCAATTAATTTCATTACATATTCTTTTACTTCAGCAAATTCCTTTTTTAATTTAATAATTCCTCTTGGGTACTGGGAATAACGGAACTGATTTGTGCCCAATGATGCAAACAGTTGCATAAACATGTATTAAAAGTCACCGATTTTCATTTCAAATTAGTTAGATTCAGGCAGAGACAAACTGCGAGTGAAGGAGAGCCAGCACCCTCCAGGTATCACAGCCGTTCCCTGGACGTGTCCCAGTCACCTGCACAGCCACAGAAATCACACAAGCAAAAAACCCCATCCACTCAGCATAAATAACATGCTCAAATTGTGTATTTATTTTGCAGCTTACAAAGCTCATCCCAGTAGGAGATCTGTGGGATAACAAAATACTTCCTGCACTCACATTTTCAAAAATACGTCTTCAAGAATCTGTCTTAATCCTCGATCTCTTTCTCCCTGCACAAACTATTATTTCAGGCATTGAATAACCAAACGTATACTTTCTAAATCAATCAGTTGTGGTATCATTTAAAGAAAAGCAAGCTTAACGGGAGAGTGTAAAACAAGACCACAACAATATCAGATGGATTCTCATGAGTAAGCAGCAAAATGTCTTCATTCGATCGCAGCAGGTAAAGGTTGGGAGCGGGAGCTGGGGGCACGTGCCCAGGAGCCGGGGTGGTGGGAGCCCTGCGACCTGACCGGGCACGGCACGGCACAGCATGGCACAGCCTCCTCCGCCAGCGCACGCCTCAGCCAGACCAAGGCTGGCAGACCAACTGGTAAGATACGACTTGGAGGTGGACATGGTGGCCAAGGGAGTGTTCATAGCAAGGAGCGTTATTTTCAAACCATGTATTTTTCCTTGAGAAAGCCTAGTAATGCCAAAACCCAAGCAGTCAGTGTCAATCTCTGGCACACTGGTAGTGTTTGGCATGGACAGACTCTAGACAGGATCGCGAACAAGTGTCATGGCATGACAATTTTCTGCTTTTAGAACATAACGTGAGATTTTGTATGCCTTCTGAACAAAGATCACTTTGCCCTGCGAAGGGGAGTAAGCAGAGGTGCCATTTAACGAAAGTTTAAGCAATGCACAGATTGGTTGTTTCACTTTAATTGACTATTAAATCCCAAGCTTTGTAGCAATAACCTTCAAGGTAGACAGATGATATTTTTCTTTTAAAATTGTTAAAGGGAAAATTAATGGAGATGGCTATGTTAATTTAACAATTCCTCTGCAAGTGGGTTGGTCCCACGCTTCCTTAACAGTGCCAATTCCCATTGAAAAGTTCACAGTGAATCTACGAAGACACAAGTGTGATTGGCTTTAATGTGGTCAAGAAAGATGTCTCAGTTCTCCAGGATCACCACGTGTTTCCACAGGACAGCTACAACTATCCCTATATTTATCTATTTACATGGAAGAGCTAATAAAAGATATATAGATACATACAGAGATAAAAAGTTTAATTTCACTGCAAGTTTCTTTCATGTAATCTTTCTAGCATATCTTGAGCCACAGCCTCTGTAAACCCTCTGAGGAACAGCTCTTTAATCTCCATGTTTCACACTGCAAACGTGCAAATTAGTTTCCAGGATCTGCAAGCAGCAGAGGACTACTGCTGCAAGATGGCAGCAAACCTTCCAGAAAGAGGAGAAACAACACTGACTCACAAAAGATGAAAAGAAGGAGGAAAAAATAAATAAGGTAAAAAAAATAATAAAATAAAATGAAATGAAATAAAATAAACCAAAGTAAACCAAAAAATAAAATAAAATAAAATAAAATAAAATAAAATAAAATAAAATAAAATAAAATCTCGGCAGTTGTCACAGAGGTCAGCACTCAAAAGGCACGTCCTGCACGAACGAATTTCTTTCCTCACCTGCCTGATCCCTAAGCGATAGGCAAGGATGCGGTCCACAGCGTCGGGGTTCATCTGGGTCCACTGGAGACTGTAGGCATAGACTCGGGGTCTGTTCTGCCACAGGGGGTTGTAGGTGTCGTAGTAGAACTCGGGAGCGTAGGCTTTGCCTGTAGGAGACAGGAACAAAAACAGGGAAAACAAAGAAACCAGAGAATGATCAGGCAGCCAGATTTGGAGCCAAGTGTTGAGACCCAGCCTGCAACCGCCCTCTCCCCCTGTGTTTTGAGTCATTTTGTTAAATACCTTCTTCCAGAAACACACTATGGAATTATTTGCCTTCATCCACTTTTTTAAAGGATTCTTGGCAATGGTTTGCTTTTATCGTTAACTCACTCCTCAGTGGCATCCATGGCCCAGCTGTGGGCATGGAAGGGGAAAAATTAACTGAGCTCCTAGCAAAGGCAAGCTGGAGCAATGCAACATGCCTCTGCACTAATTTTTCATGGCCCAGCTGACTAAAATAGAGATATCAAAACAATCTGCACTACACTGAGCAGAGTAAGACTCAGTGACAGCTGCTGTACCTGGCACAAATAACACGAAATGACATCCGTGAGCTGGAAATACAAAATGGATATTTCCAGCGACTGCTGCCTTCATCACATCTTCTCCTCCCTGAGTTCCCAAGTGAAAACGCACACAAGCCGTCCTTTGTAACCCCACAGATGTGCACGCTATTACAGTACATTATTTAGCTGAACATACCGATTTGCACAACAGAGGGAAACGACATCTCACAGTGCATGTTGGGTACACAACTGTTTCACCAGAATGTTATTATAGCCTTCATCTTTTATAAATATGAAAAACCTAAAGATGAACACATGACAAAACATTGCTTGAATTCACTAAATTTGAGTTCCCTTTGACTTAAACCCACAAATACTAGTGACATCTTTACAGGCAAATTACCCTTGCGCCTCTAGTGTACCTCATAAAGAGCAATTTAGCAAAATAAAAGCAAAAATAGCAAAAATAACACAGAGTGCCCAATCTGTTTGCCTAGCCACGGGCATGTAGTGGCATCTGAGATGCAGTAGGGTAGCTGAGCCATCTAGACCGGGTGGAAGATATGACGTAAGAGCTATAAGAGACCCAGGACCTGCTAGACTCATAGCTGGAGCTGCGTGCACCATCCATATACATCTCATATACCACCAGGCACTCCTGTGCAGGCAAACAAGTTGAGTCCATAAAGCCTATGAGAAGATGTGGTAGGGACAGGGCTGTCTGCAAACACCTTTGAGGGAACTTCACTCCATTGGAATATGTGCTTCCACCATACCCCCAAAAAATCTTGGTGGATTTGTCAAAAAGGAAAGTCAAACAACATTAGAGCACACAACCAGTACATGCCAAAGAGACCCAGATCAGTTTTCTACTTTTGAGTCATTTCGCATTGATCTTTCTTTAGCACACCATACCAACAACACAGCATTGCTTCCATTTCTTAAAGCAAAAAGGTTTGGATTGACTTGAAACAAGTTTTAACAGCTGGGTTTGTAGGAAGAGTTGTTAATCACCGGTTTTCGCCCTGGATCTGTTTCAACAGGAATAAAACCTCAACTCAAAGACTGACCGTCTTTCACGGAACAGGTCCATCCTTGCCCTGCCCGGTTTTGCCTCCTTTCTCTGGAGTTTCTACGCTTTGAGCATAATGTTATTGGGAACAGGATGGGGACAAACAAAAACCAGGCTCTGCTGCGTTAAATGCTACATTTTGTCACCTGACTTATGCAAAAAGGAGATGAAACATGGGAAACCAAAATATTTGCAGATGTTATCCTTCTACAAAAGTCCAAAAGAGACTTGTCATTAGAAAAAAACAGAAGCAGAATGAGGTCTTTCCCATCCCAAAGCTTACACCTCTGTTCTCCTTCTATTTCTCCAGGGATTTTGTCAGTGGAAGTAATTATGAAATGCAATGAAAAACACAAGACAGCCTCATGGGAAGACGTGGTCTGCCTGCTCAAGTCGACCTATGAGAGGGGTATGCATTCATTACTCACCTTCTTTAATTCAGATATTAGGAGCTTGTGCCAAAATGCACACTGTATTTAGGTATTTTCTCCTCAAAACTAGTTTTATCTACTGGTGTAAACAGAGATGGATGGGGAGGCATTTTGACCTGAAGTCTGAGAATTTCAATCATCAGAAAGGTAGTGAGAAGAGGGGAAAAAAGCATGAAAAATAAAAAAACTGAAAAAGGACAAAGGAAAAATCATGTGAATATATACCAATCTTGAGGTTATTGATCGAGCTTTTATCTTTGGGTGTGTCATCTCCTCCAGCCATGGCTTTCTTTTCAAAGGATAAAAAGCCCTTTTAGTCAAGATATTTTTGCCAGATTGCCCAACGAAGGTGCATATTCAACTAGACCAGATGAGAGCAGATATGCTAGTGCTGAAGTAGCAAACAACAATACTCCGAGGAAAAACAGCAAAGCAAAACCGCTGTTTTAAAAAATGAAATGTAAGATAAATGAAAAGAGGACCAGTGGTTGATAAGATTTGTTTTCCTTATTTATGTGCAGTGGAAATAATGGAGAAAAGCTCATGCTGAATGCAAATTACAATCTTCCCCCTGCTACTGCAGGTGGACATAATGGCATCTCTGGGGGTCTGCAGAAAGGATCCATAATTAGATGCTTGTCACAATATGGGCACTTGAACAACACAGTCACCTTTTGAGAAATAATGAGGACTCATGAAGAGTTGCATTATTCTAAATCCCTCTGAACAGAAGAGCTTTCTGGTGTGAATGGAGATGCCGAAAATTTAACAACACAACATTAAGACCTTAACTTGCGAACTTCAGAAGTACAAGAAAGCTGGGCAGTGTTTTAGAGTACACAAAAAGCAGATGTTGCCTTTGGAGGAGCTGGAGCTGAGACATGTAGGCGGTCTGCCTGGGCTTGGCAGGTGTCCCCCGTCACCGTGACCATTTGCTCTGACTCTGGACAAACACCCTAAGCCTTCCACCACCCAACCGTGCCACTTCCAGAGGTGATGCTGGCCAGCAAAGATAATTCTCCACTAGAGAAATAAAGAGATTATGAAGAGTGTAAGAGACCTAGCAACAGCCCTTGGCTTAGCACAACTTGACTGTCGGGAGGCAGCAGCTTACTTGGAGGAAACCACCTGCAGTACAGGTTAGCTCAGCAGCCAGCTTCAAGCCCTGGCCATGCTTGGAAGGGGTTATCACATACTCCCCACCTGCAGAGACGTCTCAAGCATGCAGTACATGGGGCTGCTGTCCCGCATACCCCAAACTGGGCATCCCTTGGGGCTGCCAGCTCTACCTGCACCTGCCTTCCTTCCTACAGTAATGTCAGCCTCACCTTCCAAAAGCAAATGCTTTGTTTTGTTCTGAGTACAGGAAACATTTGCCTGGCTCACATCATTTGCTCTTTTTAAGCACAGGCAGCAAAAATGGCCTTCCTCTCACTCCCTTCAGCTTTCGCAGCATTCAAGGATTTATTAAAACATTTCAGGACAGGCAGGCAGACCTCAGTGTGTTCCTGGAACCAAACCTCACCAGGCTTCAGCTAAATGGAGGTAGCTGTGACCAACTGACTGCTCCTCTATTGACCATCAAAGGAGATTATGGTGCACTGGGAGGGACCCCAGGTCTGTGCTGATTCAGATATATAGGGGAAAACAGTGAAACTCTTCTGGGTCCTCAGGAGGGTGCTGGCAAGAGGAGCAGCGTGCCATGGCCATGTGTCAAGGACTAAAGGCAGGGCAAAGGCAGGGTAGCTTCTGCAGGCAGCTTCTACGGATGCAGGAGTGCCGCATCCCTGGAAAGGGCAGCCTCTCCCTAACATGCCGCTCCAGCAGGTCCTGAGGGAGGAGAGTTTAATGTCGTGATATTTTTTTGTGTCTGTTAAGGCAATCTGAAGTCGGGTTTAGAGCTCCATTAACATGTACTAGTTTTAATTAATCCCTCCCTCTGTGCTCGCACTGCTGGAATCCAAGTAACTGTGATGCTTGGGGCTCTGCCAGGGAGAGGATACATGACATAGTTTGATGTGGAGTATATTGTTTGTTTTCCTTTCTATCACTAGCAAAACATTTCTTTTTTTCACCTTCTGAATATGTAGCATGTGCAAAATAAAGACGGTTGGGATTGTGTGTGTGGGCAGGGGGGGAATGGCGTAAGGAGAGGTAATACCGAATGCAGTTTGCTTATCTGGGCTGGCCGCTGCATGAGACAAAAATGCATAAACAGACAGACCAAATACCTGTGTTTGAAGGCAACACAGCCAAAATAAAGCGTGAATTCCTCCCCAGCACACTTGCAGAGGCAACCCAGCACGAGCAACACAATTACAAATCCTGCTGCCTTTATCGCTGTTGTTCCATCAACCTGAATGCATCTGCATACGAAGCCTACAATTATCAATTATGGCTAACTGCACCCCTAGGTACACAGGGGTTCCTCAGGATTTTAGCTATCTCCCTCCTCAGGTTAGCACAGGGGGAATTAAAAAAACCCATCACCCAATTCATTGGTACCATTCATCTGGATTCACAAGCACATCCCAGCCCTGCTGAAGCTCCTGAATTGTAGAAACACTGCAGAGGTCTGTGCTTACTGGCAGTGAGCAGCAATTTTTCCTTCTTGTGTCCTTAATTTCAAGAGGCCAAATGGCTTTTTTTTATTGGGCATTATTGGTGCATTTTCTGCATCTCTACTTAAAGACCAGCAGATCAGCAGCCAGAGGAACATCCTACCCACAGACCCTCCTCCAGGCAGCAGCCACAGGCTGTACAAGAGTCCCCCGCTCTGTCCCCTATCACTGTAGTTAAAATTTGCTACATATTAATTTCTACGAAAGTCTGAAATAGGACTTCAGAGACATGCGATACCAGATGTCAAGAAATATTGATCTGAGGACACGACTGTGATTAATTAGTGTGGCACAAAGGAACGTGTGTCCCAAGGTCCTCTCTGAGTAGCAGTTCCCAAACACTAATGTATCTTCTGGGTGGGACAAGAATATACTTGCTTCTAAGATGTATTGAGGGTAAGGACTTCCTCAGTTGAAGAGTACTTCAAATAGTGGATGGCCAGCTAGGGACAACTTGAATAGGTATATTCATAG